AAACCCGCTCCCTCGGGGCTCTTTAAGGTCACGTCTGCACCTCAGGGTCCGGGAGGAGCGATGATTGGGGTTGGGGAGAGATTCCAGCAGTGCAGATTGATCGTCCATCTCCAAAGTGGGCCTTTTTGAAGGATCTCAAAGGAACGGAATCCTTCCTCGCAGAATTGCTCGGTTTCAGCTGATGGAAAGGGATCGAATTAGGGAAGTGATGGGGGTGGCGCCCTTCATGGCTACTTTCAAATCCCCCCACACTCTAAGCAAACTTTTCCCCTCTCTTTACTTCAATGGGAGAAAAATAGCCATTTAGAGCCCAGATAGGAAATCCTCAAGGAAAGGGTACTTTTCTTGGTTTTATATCTCGCCCCTTCACGAAAGTTCGAGAAAGGAAATCTCCGATGCGGTGTATACGTGTGTGTTTGGGGAGGCGGGTGGAGGCAAGCGAAAGATCTCGCACTCTTTCAGAAAGGAGTATTGATGCCGTTCAGGTGGAGAGGCATCTTGGGGCAAAATCAAGGCCAGGAGCTCCAGATGTGTTTGAGCCCCGACAGCCATGGAGCTGCGGGCGCAGCAGCGCCGACGAACCCAGGGCGCCGACTTGCAAGTGTGGCAAGCGTGTGTGCGCGTGAGTGCGCCCGTGTGTGAGTACCGCTCCCAGGAGAGCCCTAGGCTCCCCACGCAAAGAGCTGAAAAGCCGAGGCAGCACGCACTAAAGACAGACCTACAGACCAACACGCACGTCCCGAGAAAAGGAGCTGAGGTTAAACGGAGCCGGAGGTCATTGGGGTCCCCCGTCTTCGCTTCGCAGCTCCCCGATTCTCGCGAACCTGATGGGAGCTTTGCTCTAAGCATTCCCTGCCGCTCTCTGCACAGCCCACCTTTGCAGTGAAGGAATTCGGAGGAAGCGGGTGTGCCACGAGCCCTTCCCAACACTCCAACCCCCAAGCTCCAGGCCCCTCGAACGGTGGCCCGTCAGTGGGGAAGCCCAGGTGGATCTCTGGGCCGCTCTGATCTGCTGGGCAGCCAGGCCAGCGAACGCAGCCAGGCCACCCGACGCAGCCACCGCTTCTCAAGTTGATGAGGCTACAGATCCCGGGTCCCGGGATTCCCTCCGACCCTTGTGCCCGGGGCAGGGACTGTTTGCACGCAGATGCAGCCACGGAGACTCCCCAGAGTCATTCGCGCAGCAGTAAAAACGAGGTTGGCGCTGTCGCGTCCTGCATGCACAGTACTCCCAGCATCGTATCCTCGAAGTGGGGTTTGGATGCGAGCGGGGTCATCTTCCCTCGCCCGTCGGCTCCCCCTGGCGGCCCCGGACGCAGGTCTTCCCGTCCGCCGAAGACCTGGGGAGGCCGAGGCCTCGGGAGAGAGGCGATGCTCACCTGGTTGGGCTGGGCAGAGCACCCTGCCCTCCAGCACACTACCCCTTCCGCTTCGTCGGGCCCGCGCTGACCTTACTGTGCTGTGGCGCCCCTGGCTTCCCCGACCGCGCACCGCAGGATGGGAAGGGGACACATCTGGAAGCAGCATCCCCCGCCCCCACCCCCTCCATCCCAGATCCACTCACTAGGCAGTATTTGCCAGGCGGGTTTCTGACACCCCTTGCCATTTTGTCTTGGTGTTTAATGATCCCAGGACTAAAGCCAGGCGCGCGGCCGCTGCAGGGGAGCGATGCGGACAGGAACCATGTGGCCGCGAGGGCGCGGGACTCGGCTGGGGCTCCCGGGGTGGCGCTCCGGGGCGGAAGCCTGGCCCGGTGGGGGGCGCCGGGGACGGCTGGCGCGGGCCGGGCGCGCCGCCGGCGGGGTCAGGGGCGAAGGGGCAGGCGGAGGGCAGCGCGCGGGGAGCCGGCGCGGCGGCTCGGGTTACCGCGGTCCGGCCCTCCCACCCGCAGCTCGGGCGCGGGGGCCGGGGCGGACTCGGGCCGTCTCCCGCTGTTTGCATTTCTCTGGCAGGCGGCGGGGCTTGGGTTGAAAGGAATCGCCTCCATTTGGAACGTTGTTTATTTTTCTTAACTAGCCAGAGCCGACAGACGGCCTCGAGAGCACGGCGGCCGGACTCGGCCGAGCCCTCGCTGGGAAAGGGGTCAGGACAAGGGCCGGCCCGACGAAAGGGCGCTGCAAGCCCCCGCCATGGGAATGCGCCCGGGTCCCCCCCGCGGCCGGGTGGGGAAGGGTCGCGATGGGGCGGAGAATGACTTTCTAAAAAATACTTCCCTCTGTCGCGGTTACCTTAGCTTTGACCTTGCGCAAGGTTGGGCGGCGAAGCGGTTAAGCTTTCCGACTTCGGCGTCCGGGCGCCTTGGATTTCAGTTCCGTTTCCTCCAATTTTAGCTCCGTGACCTTAAGCAAGGCGTCTCTGTGCCTCAGTTTCCTCGATTCTCAAATGGGTATAACGTAGTGCTTAGCTCATTGGGTTGTTGGAAGGACTGAATGAAATCATTCACCTAAACCCTTAGCGCAGGGTCTGGAACTTGTCAAGAGCTCAGGAGAGGCTAGCCCCTCTTGTGGGGGCTTGTGGGTGTTTGTGGTGCTCTGGCCACGCGAGGGTGGGTGGGGTGGGGGCAGCCAGCAAGTGCGCAGCCCACAGGGAAGGGGCTAGAGCTGGAGGCCCACGACTCTCAAGCTCTGGGGAAAGGTGCGGGCTGAGGAGAGTTCTGAGCGTTTTGACATGAAATGAATAAGATGCAAATGATATTCAAAGCAAGATGCTAATGAGGATCTATTCTTTGAGCATCCACAGCCCGGGCAGTGCCCAGAACAGTGGCGGAGCTGGTGTGAACTCATGCATGGGCAGGGTCCTGCAGCCTAGGTCTCGGGTGTGTGTGTGTGTGTGTGTGCCAGTGTGAGTGTGTGAGCGTCGGCGCGCGCCTGCTCCGGAATGTGCGTAGCCGGCTCCGGGTGTGCTCGCGCCGTCATGAAAATGAGGTCAGGGAAGGTCGTTCCACTCTGCAGCATAAATCAAGGAGGAAAGGAGAATGGATGTGAGAGACAGTCCCTGGAGACCGCCCCGAGAGAGGCAGCGCGAGGGAAGAGGGAGGGGGAAAAAGTTCTGCGGAGAATAGGCGAGAAGCTCGTCCAGGCAATCTCCCACCCCGCGCTTGTAGCCGGGTGGCGGGTCCCTTCGCCGAGCACCCGCGCCTAGAACCCAGCCGAGATCGTGCCTTTCATCCCCCATCCTCCTCCCCAGGCTCCCGGGGATCTTTTCCTCTTCCCCGCCCCGATTTAAACGTTCCTCGTCTACGCGCTCTTTGTGTGAACACTGAAGCTCCGTGCACCCAGCCTGCTCAGGAGCTTGTAGGTGCCCACGTGCACACGCCAGTGGCACACAAAATTGCACACTTGTTACTCGCACGGACAACCTCCGGGACTCGCCGTCAGACGTTCCGGAACCGGCTGCTCTCCGCTGTCCTCCAGCTGCGCCCTCGCTCCATGCGGTTTGCCTCCCGGGTCTCGCCAACACCCACTACCGCCGCGCGCGGGCCCCTCTCGCTCTTCGCCTTCCGCCCGCCGCGGGAAGAGCGCGGTTCTCCGGACCGGTGTTTCCCTGCGCGTATCCTGTGACCCTAGCCGGAAATTCCGGAGGCTCGAGCCGCCCTGGGCCGGAACCGAGACACAAATCCCGGGTGACCCGGCTCTCAGGCGAAGAGGGAAGAGCGTGCAGCAATCCGGGATGGAGGAGAGAGAGGGAGAGGGACCTCTCTGACCTCTTTCTTGCTTCTTTGAGACTTAAGGGCCAGAGGGCTGAATGGGGGTAGGGGACAGTGCAGAGACCACCCGCCTCCCCTTGGAACCTCTGTAGCTCCCAGAGCGCTTTGCTCTCTGCTGGCACGAAGGCTGCCTCCAAAACTGGAAAGTGAAAAGCGAAGAGGATGGACCGAGCCTAGGCCCAGATCAGATTTACTTCCCATCCCACTCTCTCTGTGGCAATGAGTAAGAACAATGAAGATGCCTAAGGACCTGTACAGTAGGCACAAAATAGGTGCACACTAATACAGTGAATGAAATGTACAAAAAGCTGTCACCACCATGACTCTTCCTGAGCCTCCACATTTTGTAGATTAATTCATTAAGTCATGAATTTATTCAACAAATGTTGATTAAGCTCCGACTCACAGAGAAACAGGATGCCAAGAGCCTGGCCCTCTGGGCACTTCCATTCTCCTGGGACAGAAAGACAGGAAAGATAGCCTCGGACCCATCCTATGAAGTTAGGCAGGGGAGCCCTCCGAGGGGAGAATGAAAGATTATACTGGGTTGGAGAGAGCCTCTCCAGGGAGGACACAGAGGCCTGAATGAAGTAACAGAACGAGCCAGGCACACTTCTGGGGACAGAGTCCCAGGCAAAGGGAACTGGCGGTGCAGTGGCGGAAGGTGTGGGAAGCCTGGGGTACAGCCTGGCAGGGAGGAGAGAGGAAGGAGGTGAAGTGGAAGGTCAGACCCCACTTTGTAGGTCATGGTGTGGAGTTTGGGATTATAGACCAGGCGTGATTTCGGAGCCATGGGGAATTTTTAAACAGGGACTGAAACAACTTGATCTGTGGTTTTAAAAAAATGATAAAGAGAATTTAACTAACTCGTCCACGGTTTCCAGGTCTGTATCTTAACCCAGATCTCTAAATGTGTCTCTGTCCAAAATACCAAGGGGACAAGCATCGGCAAGGTCGCTCCAGAAGGGGCCCAGGAGATGTCGGGAAGGGTACTCTGTCCCTCCCACCCCTACTTTTAGGAAGGTGCCGGAATGGGGCAATGGATAGGGTCGCTAAATCTGCCAGTCTGAGAGTCTGGGCTGTGCTGAGGATCCCCAGCCTGATGATCTCCGGCGTTTCCACTTTCTGATTCCCCACCCCATCTGCTGCCTTTGCTCTGCCTACCTGGGCCTTTACCGGCTGCGGAGACTCTGGAGAGTCGGATTGAGGGCAACTTTGGCACAGGAGGCTAAGACCTAATCTCTCCGACGCTCCAATTCCGCTGCTCTTCAGGCTGCGGAATTCTTTCCCCCTCTCAAGGAGTCTGGGTGTGCGCCGACGGGCACTGTGGTCCCGCACCGCCGCCCGGTGGCCGAGGACGATACTGCAGCCGGAGTCGGTACAGGGTGCAGAACGTACCAGAGACTGCAGGGGGCGCAGGAACAGGTTTAGTGACCGCGTGCCAGGTGCCAGGTGCCTGGAGAGGCGCTTCAGTTACTTTATTTAACCATCCGAGTAACTCCTGGAGAGAGAACTACGATTTCCCTCACTCTACAGACAAGGAAATTAGGGCCAAGAGAGGCAACGTACTTTGTTTAAAAACATACAGCTAGTAAGCGGCAGAGTGATTTACCCATTTTCATGCTCTCTTGCCCGCTTTGAGTGTGTCAAGAGTGTAATATTGACCTCCATCCTAGAAAGCTCTCCCTCCCTTTGGCCCTGAAGAATCATCTAGAAAATGTCTTTAGCAGGTGCCCAAAGCTTCCAAGTCCGTCTCTGGAAGTGTTTCAAGGTCCTTTTCCCTATACCTACACCCTAAGCGGGTGTCAGAGGTCTGTCTCCTCTCTGAAATTCAGGCTGGTTGAGCAACTTCGTCCCTGACGGTAAAGAGAAAGCTGCTCTGTGTGGGGAGCTCCTGAACCTCGAATGGCACGAAAGAAGGGGAGACAGAGGATGAGCACACTGAGCCGGCTCTGTGCTCCTTCCCCATCGTTAATAGCAAGGTCAGGAGACCCCTCCTTTGGCTTGGCATTGGGGCTCCCTCCTTTTTTTTTTTTTTTTTAAGATTTTATTTATTTATTTGACAGACAGAGATCACAGGTAGGCAGAGAGATAGGCAGAGAGAGAGAGAGAGAGAGGAGGAAGCAGGCTCTCTGCTGAGCAGAGAGCCCGATTCGGGACTCGATCCCAAGACCCTGAGATCACGACCTGAGCCGAAGGCAGCAGCTTAACCCACTGAGCCACCCAGGCGCCCTGGGGCTCCCTCCTTATCAGGCCCTGGGACTGCCCAAGCTGGTTTTGCACCTGCGGCTGTCTGGGTGGGCAGAGGACTACTGGGCGGATCTTGCGCCCTTCCCGGGAGATGCTGCCCATCTCAGTGCGGAGCTAGGAACCGTTCTCCGTCCTCTGCTGCCCTCTAGTGGGCTAGGTAGGATATGGCTGTCGCCGGCAGCGTCTTCCTACCTTCTTGCCTTCCTTAACAAAGTTTCCTTCCCAGAGGCCAAACAGACCTAGAAAGGTCTGGCTGCGAACATCCCAGAGCTGTGTCCCCGTAACACTAGGATTATTACCCTCAACAAACATGTAGTAAGGGCCTGCCATGCACTTGGCTCTGTGGGAAGTCAAGAGGGAAGCCCTCCCCCAGCCCGCCCCTCCTCCTCTTTAAACCTTGGGCTAGAAGGGCTCACAGTTCAATGGAGAAGACAGACATGAAATGACTCCTACACTCGTTTTTAAGACGCTTTTTAACTTTTTAAATAATTATAGATTAATACAAAATTCGAAGATAGTAGAGGGAGGTCCTGGGTACCCATGCCTTGCACGTGTGGATTCTGGAAACCAGCACTGCAATCAAGATACCAAGATAGAGAATTATTCCAGCACCACGAAGACCTCCCTGGCACTACCCCTCTATATTTACACCCATTCCTCCCTCAACTAGTATTCTTATTGACAGCCCTTAATGTTTTCCATCTCTACAGTGGTGTCATTTCCAGAGTTTTATACAATGGAATCAAACAGTATGTGGCCTTTTGAAACTGTTATAAATTCACTCAGAAAAAAAAAAAAACAATAACAACAAATGAGATCCGTCCAAGTTGTTGCATGTATCAGAATCAGTTTGATTCCCTGTGATTCCTTTTAATGGTGAACATTCCATGGAAGTATCACTGCTTATCTGCTGGGGAACATCTGGGTTGTTTTCAGTTTTTGGCTATCAAAATGAAGACGCTATGAAGTCATATATAGGTTTTTACATAGACATAAATTTTTATTTCTCTAGGATAAATTCCCAAGAGTGCAATTGTCCTTTCCTTCTTCCTTTCTTCCTCTTTCCTTCCCTCCTTCCTCCCTGTCCATCCTTCCTTCCTTCCTACTTTCCTTCCTTTCTTCCTTTTTAGATTTATTTATTTACTTTACAGAGAAGGGAGCATGAACAAGGGGAGGGGCCAAGGGTGAGAGACAGAGAAGCCCAAGCGGGCTCCCTGCTGAGCACAGAGCCTGATCCTGGACTCCATCCCACGACCCTGAGATCATGATCTGAGCTGAAATTAAGAGTTGGCTGCTCAATTGACTAAGCCATCCAGGCGCCTGCAATTGCTGTTTCTTACTTTAAGTGTATGTGTAGTTTTTAGAAGAACCTGCCAGATTATTTTCTAGAGTAGCTTACCATTTACATTTCCACTAGCAATCTAGGAGAGATCCAGTTTCTCTGCATGCTTGTCAACATTTGGTAACATCACTATTTTTAATTTTAGCTATTCTAAGAGGTGCATAGTAATATCTCATCCTGGTCTCAATTTGCATTTACCTAATGGCTAATGATGTTGAACATCTTTTCATGTGCTTATTTGCCATTGGTGAAATGTCTGCTCATGTCTTTTGCCCATTTTCTAATTAGATTTTTTTTGAAATGAGAGTTTTGAGAGTTCTTGATAAATTGAGGTAGGAGTCCTTTGTCATATGTGTGATTGGCAAATATTTTCTCCTAGTCTGTAGATTGTCTTAACATCCTCATAACAGGGTCTTTTGTGGAGCAAAAGTTTTTAATGTTGATGAAGACCACTTACGGATTTTTTTTCTTTTATGGATTGAATCTTTTATGGATTGGTGTTACATCTAAGAACTCTTCACTAAGTCCTAAGTCTCCAAAATTTACTTCTATGTCAGCTTCTAAATTTTTATAGTTTTATGTCTTACATTTAAGCCTGTGTTCCATTCTGAGTGAATTTTTGTATAAGGTGTGAGGTTTAGGTCAAATATCTTGTTTGTTTTTTGCTTATAGATATCCAGTTGCTCCCACAACATTCATTGAAAAGACCATTCTTCCTCCATTGAATTGCTTTTGTATATTTGTAAAAGAGCATTTGACTATTTATGACATGGATGGATCCTAAAGACATTAATACTAAGTGAGATAAGTCAGATGGAGAAAGGTAAATACTGTATATCACTGATATGTGGAATCTAAAAAAGCAAAACTCATAAAAGAGTAAAGTGGTGGTTACAGAGGCTGAGGGAATAGGAAAGATGTTGTTTAAGGGTGTGTACCTCACAGATAAGCAAGTCCTGGAGATCTGATGTCTATGGACAACAGTACTGTATTATAATCATCAAACTTGTGAAGAAACTAGATCTTTGTTATTCCCACCATAAAAAAGAAATGATAATTATGTGATGTGTTGGAGGTGCTATCACTACAATGGGAATCTTATTACAGTATCAAATCAAAATGTATCAAATCAGCTGTCCATCTTAAATTTATACAATGTTATATGTCAAGTGTATTACAATTAATAATATTTCAAATTAAAAAATCAGCTGATAATCATATGTAGGTCTATTTCTGGGTTCTCTGTTCTCTTCTACTGATCCCTCTGCCAATACCCCCCAGTTTTATTACTGCAGCACTGTAATGTAAGTCTTGAAACTGAGTAGAATGATTCCTCCCACTCTATTCTACTTCTTCAGAGTTGCTTTGGCTCTTTAGTTCCTTTGCCCTCCCACATAAGCTTTAGAAGAATCTTGTCTGTCTTTCTGGGATTTTAATAGAAATTGCATTGAATTTCTATATCAATTTTGGAGGAACTGACATTCTTACTATATCAAGTCTTGCAATCCATGAACACTCATCTATTTAGAACTTCTTTGACTTCCTTCACTTGAGCTCTCAGCATGTAATTCCTGCACATGTTTTGTTAGGTCTGTATTTGAGTATTTTACCTTTTGTGAATGACTGTAAATGGTGTTGGATTGTTAATCACGATGTTTGCCTGCTTATTGCTAGTAGATGGAAATAAAATTAATTCTCGTATCCTGTGACTTGCTGAATTTGCTTATAGTTCTAGAATTTTTCTGTTGTAGATCTCTCAGGACTTTTTTTTTTTTTTTTACATAGATCGTTATGTCATCTGCAAATGGGAACATTTTATTTCTTCCTTTCTGATGTGTATGCCTTTTGTTTCCTTTTCTTGTCTTATTGCATTGTCTAGAACTTCCAGCACTATATGAATAGCAATGGTGAGAATGGACATTCTTGTCTTGTTCCTGATCTTAGGGAGAAACACTCAATCTTTCACCATTTAGTATGTCAATTGTAGGACTTTTTAAAAATAGGTGTTCTTTATCATCTTGAGGAAGTTCTTATTTCTAGTTTTCTAAGGGTGTCATGAATGGATGTTGAATTTCAAGTGTTTTTTGTACCTCGATTGATAAAATCATGTGATTTTTTTTTTTTCTGGTTAGCCTGTTCATATAATGAATTACACTGATTGATTTTCAAATATTGGATCAGGTTTGCATCTCTGGAATAAACTCCACTTGGTCATGATATATAAATATTTTTATACATTGGTGAATTCTATCTGCTAATATTTTTAAAAGTTTTTTTACACCTATATTTTGAAGGACATCAGTCTGTAGGTTTTTTTTTCTTTTTTTCTTTTTTTTTTTTCCAAGATTTTATTTATTTACTTGACAGAGAGAGATCACAAGCAGGCAGAGAGGCAGGCAGAGAGAGAGGAAGGGAAGCAGGCTCCCCGCTGAGCAGAGAGCCCGACGCGGGACTCGATCCCAGGACCCCGAGATCATGACCCGAGCTGAAGGCAGCGGCCTAACCCACTGAGCCACCCAGGAGCCCCTGTAGGTTTTTTTTTTTCTTTATACTATCTTTGGTTTTTGGTATCAAGGATAGTTCTAGCTTCATTCTTCTATTTTCCAGGAGAAATTATGTAGAATTGACATTAATTCTTTAAAAGTTTGGTACAGTTCTCAAGTAGAAATATGCGAGCCTGGAGATTTCTTTTTCAGGAGGTTTTAAATTACATATTACATTAATAATTATAGGTTTATTAATAGGTTACATTAATAATTATATGTTTATTCACAAGATCGATTTCATATTGGGTGAGTGGTATTTTGTACTT